TTTAATAATAAAAAGATAATTTTAAGCCCTTTAAATGTAATGTTTTTAAAGCAAAATAAAACAAAATAAAAATCAATTAATTCGTTTTATTAAGCATAATTAACTGGGCAATCGAAAATAATTTCACTCATTAAATATAAAGTAAATGATAACATATTTATCAACACCAACTAATCTCCAATAAAAATATTAAAAATACATTATCTATCATTAACCTTGCTGCACAGTTGAACTCATCAGTGAACTCACCAGGGATGCATTTTGACCAATAGCTGAGCGATGTTAAACTCACCGTTGAATGGAAGTCACGTTGACCAAGGTATATTCTTATTTACAGTTGTCTCGACCCTGTTTACAGATGCTTTTAATAATAATAATAATAATAATAATTCCATACATTTATATAGTGGGCAGATTTGGCCAGGATGCCGGGGTGAAACCCTTACTCTTTTTTTGAAGGACATCCTGAGATTTTTAACTACCACAGAGAGTCGGGACCTCAGTTTAACGTCTCATCCGAGCAGTATAGCAGTATATCACTGAGCAGTATAGAATCCCCATCACTATACTGGGGCATTAGGACCCACACAGACCGTAGGTTGGGCGCCCCCTGCTGGCCTCACTAACACCACTTTCAGCAGCAACCTAGCTTTCCCATGTGGTCTCCCATCCAGATACTGACCGGGCGCAGCCCTGCTTAGCTTCAGTGGGCGACCATCTGAGAGTTGCAAAGAGCGAGCTGCCGGCTTTTCATGAACAAAACAAAAACCACATATTTTTAAATAAAAAAACTGTAATAACAGGCGTAAACCAGGTTTAAAATATTGCTTTGACATCTATTGGTAACTAACTATAATGTCTCCATATGACCCATTGAAAGCAATGGAATTCCTTTTGCGTCGGTATAGTGATGCCAAGGGGTACCTTCGGTGTCCTTATACTGACGCGCAAGGTGCTTGACCATACATCAGATTTTGATGCCTTCGGGGTGAGAATGGGTTGTTACAGACTGTACCAAAGAGGGGGGTGGGTGAAATTATGGGAGTTTTCCGGAGGAAATAAACAACGGTATGGTTGCGGGAGATTGGTCTGAAATACGGCATACTCCCATGAAAAACGGGAGTGTTGGCAGGTATGATTATCAGTTTAATAAAGATTTGATCTGATATAGTAAGAAATCAGACTGTTATAATCTTCTAAGTCAGGGGTCACCAATCTCTGTCCCTTCAGGGTTTGCCTCAACATGTCACTATGACCAGCGATCTCTAACCACCAGAGGTTGCTGGAAAACATTGCCACTCTTACAAACTACAAATCCGCCAGTTCATGGACTACAACTTCATACATGCACTTCGCACACACACATGCTTCCTCATTTAGACTGATTACACTCGCACCACCTGAGGATTGTTAAAGACTGATTACACACACTATTTAAGTAGCACACACACTCTCTTCCATTGCCGAGTCTTGCTCATCTGTATAGAGACATTACAACGCATTTCCTAGTCTTGTTTTCCTGTGTTTAGACCTTAGCCTTGTTAGCCGTTTGTTGTAGTCTGCCGCCTGCATTACGACCTCTCGCCTGTTATTTGACTATGATTCTGGACTGCATCTCTATACATCTGTTTGCACCTGTTTTGACCATTGCTTGCCTGACTCCAAATAAACCTGCAAGTGGATCCAAACTCCAGTTGTCTGTGTCACTCTCCGTGTTACACAACACACCTGCCTGGATGTTTTAAGTACACTTAAGGCCTTGATTAGCTTCTGCAGGAACAAGTTTGTTGACCCCTGCTCTAAGCGTAAGGGGTTATTATGCGGTTCTGTCGAAATCTTGTGGATAAACAACGTCAACCGTCTTTGGTCTACTACACTATGGCAGGCTAATGGCTAATGAGCTGTCTCTCAGAAATTGTAAATATTTAAAATAGTGTTGTAGTGTTTAATAGGTAACAGACAAGAGGACTTTTATTAACCTTACGGCTACGTTACGTTACGTGCATTAGCCAATCCCATTGCTGTTTTGTCATCACGCGGGAGTTAGTTAGCTGTTGTATGTGATGTTAGTTCAGTAGTATGCTCGCAGGTTACAGTGTGGATAGTTAATAAACCGCTGCTGTGAAGGTGTTATTTAAGTAAACGTTTGGAATGGATTTAGGTTGTTGTGTGCCCTTCTTCACGCCTCCACAGACACTTATTACACCGATAGTGCCGGGTTAAAAGCACAACAATAGGCACTATTCTTATAAATAAACTGCATAGCTGCAATCTAAACAACTACATTCTCCTCTAAAAAAGCCTCTAAAGTATATTTTATTGTGTAACAGCAGTAACAGCTGTTTTTCAAGAGCTCAACATTTATAAAAATATCCTTATGTAAGCAGCAGTGGTCACTGCTTTCATTTGAGTTATTCTTTGAACAGATTAGCAGGCCTGAGATTAATTGTGTGCAAGTGTTCATCCTTTCATTATCACTCAGGGCATGTTTCTTTTCACCTGCTTTCTTTTGCTTACAGTTATTTTAGGGATGTAACGGTATTGTAAATACCGTCATACCGCAATATTAATTTTTTTCGATATTACCGTAGTCACATGACTCGGTAAAACTATAGGTCTTCTGAGAAAATTTGCTCAGGCGAATGAAGCAAACGGGAGGTAGCGGAAACTACAATTCCCATCAGCCCATGCGTGGCCATAATCCCTTGCGGTCTGTTGTCGCTACAGATCCAGTAATGCGGAAATGGAGTGTGCTGCTAGAAGCGGGGATCAAAAAGAGCTGGGTGTTGTCGCCGCGCGCATACTGACTAGTGGTGTTGTCGCGCGAGTTCTTATCAGCTGTGTCGCCGCGCGCGTACTGAATATCGGTGTTGTCGCGCGAGTTCTTATCAGCTGTGTTGTCGCGCGCGTAATGAATATCGGTGTTGTCGCGCGAATTCTTATCAGCTGTGTTGTCGCGCGCGTACTGTAAAGCGGGGACGGTGGGTGTGTCGCGTCGCGGGGGCACTTTTGATCATTTTGGAAGGGAACTTTCTATCCAAGACTAAAAAGGGCATGTGCACTGCACAGGTTGAGCCCTGTGTGTGCACGTGCCTGCAAGTTGGGGAATACGACTAATAATCAGTCATGGGGACTGCAGAAACACAGCACACTGTTCAGATTGATGCAGACATGAGATCTCTATCTCACTCATGGTTTGTCCTCTCAAGTGGGGGAAAGACAATGCACAACGTTACCCACTGCTGTCAACCTGGGCCAAGTCATATCTCTCTTGTCCCAGAAACCTCAGTCCAAAATGAGAGGGTTTTTTTCTGTTGCAGGGGACATTGTAAATACCCAGAGATACCAGCTTTTACCAGATTATAATTATATAATTTTCTTTAAACCCATCTCTATCTAAGTGAGTGAGTGATTAAATGTTGAATGTGATGAGTTTTCAACAATACTAAATTGAAACTTAATTTTTTTACATGGTTTAATATTTTTTATTATTAAAATTGAAGTTCCTGTTTCAAAGCTTACAGATAGATGGCTAATTTGTATGTCATTGACACTTTTGGCACTTTTTTGGAGTATTTTCATAAGTTTTGTTTTTTCCTGTAAATGATTCAATAAATACCGTACCGTGACATTCATACCGAGGTATTACCGTACCGTGAAATTCTGATACCGTTACATCCCTAGTTATTTTTGTTAATATGGTTTAATTGTAATTTTGTTGGGCAGTCAGGGCATCTCTACTAAAAACAAATCAGCCAGATTTCAAAGACATTTTTAAATAATTGTCAAATAATTGCCAAAGGGCAAGCGGTGACGCAGTAGGTACTGCTGTTGCATCACTGCAAGAAGGTCGCTGGGTCGATCCTCGGCTCAGTTGGCGTTTCTGTGTGGAGTTTGCATGTTCTCCCTGCATTCGTGTGGGTTTCCTCCGGGTGCTCCGGTTTCCCCCACAGTCCAAAGACATGCAGTACAGGTGAATTGGTTAGGCTAAATTGTCCTTAGTGTATGAGTATGTGTGTGTGAATGTGTGTGTGGAGGTTTCCCAGAGATGGGTTGCGGCTGGAAGAGCATTCTCTGCGTAAAAAACGTGCTGGATAAGATGGCGGTTCATTCCGCTGTGGCGACCCCGGATTAATAAAGCGACTAAGCCGACAAGAAAATGAATGAATGCCAAAGTAAAAAAAGTTTATGAATGGTTGCTTTTATTAAAGTATATTACACACCCCTGGTAAATTAAAGACTGGTGGAATATTCAATCAATTCATTGTGTTTTTTAAAAAAAAGGGTCAAGAGAGGTTTTTCTGTATGGTTTAACATATTAGCAATTTATTGGATACAACTGAATATTTCAATGCACAGAATTCTGTTTTCCTCAATGCAATGTGAAAGTTACATTCAGGAGGTGCGCAACAATTTACATTTCCTCACTTCAACATATATAAACAGGTGGAGTTTAGTGAAAGTCGTCAATCCTTCTCCAGTCCTCCATTGGCTGCACCCCCAGACATACGTCCTCTCTTTCTGCAAATTCTCTGCACAACATTAAGAAGCACAAAACTTTCTCTGCACATATTTTGGAGTCTGATTCCAGCGACGCTCCAGGGACAGACGAGTCTTCGCTGAGGCCATCTTCCAGCCTAAACCACGGCGACTGAAGCTCTGCACAAGACTTTTGGCCAGCGGAGAAATTAAAATGGTCGTGCACAACTGAGTCTGGTTCTCTCAAGGTTTTTTTTCTTCACTCCCATCAGGTGAAGTTTTTTTTCCCTCTCCGCTGTCGCCACTGCCTCGCATGGTTCAGGATTGGTAGAGCTACACATCGATGAATTTGCTCTTCAGTGTTTGGACTCTCAGTAATGATTAAATCACACTGAACTGAGCTAAACTGAACTGAACTTAAACACTAAAACCTGAACTACACTGTTCCAGTTACTATGACCATTTATGTGAAGCTGGTTTGACACAATCTACATTGTAAAAGCGCTATACAAATAAAGCTGAATTGAATTGAATTGAACATATTCTGTGACAGGAAGTTTCTGCAGAGCTCAAGTTGGGTTACCTTTAAATGACCAACACAAATAATTGTTTAATGAAAAGAAAAAGAGACAATAATAATGAAAAAATATATATTCCTTTTTTCTAACAAGACTTAAAGCTACTTTTATTCTAACCAGTTTTTTTTTTTTTTTTTACTAGAGATGACGTCAGTTTCTCCTAAAAGATAACTCGACTATGTACAAGAGACATCAAATATACATTTAAATACATTACACACGTCTTTCATGGAGCATCGCTGTGGAGCATTTGTGGATCCAGGTTATGGTATTGTTAGACACTGACCTGTAAATAAAGCACAGTGAGACTCTCATGATCACATATTAACCCAACAATCCCTTTTCAAGAGCTGGTTTGTCTAAATAATAATAATTAACAATAATGCACCTTTCTGGTCTCGTTTCACCTCTGGCTGGGGAGGTTTAATCCAGGACAGTTTGAGTTTAGTGAATCCTCTTACTTCCAGACTAGACTGCAGCTAAAATTAATTACACATCAGTTTAGTGTACGCTTTAAATATGTCCTCTCAAAACATTGTTATAGAAATATTACTGAAATTAGGCCTGGGGTCTGTTCTTCGTAGCTCGCTTAAATGATCTAAGATGATTTGGCAGATCCTGGATCTGTTCATCTTGATAACTGATCTCTGGCTAATTTGGTTCTTCGAACAAGTTGGCGAATCAGATTAGAATGTCTGGATAAACTGATCTGAGATCGCTGTGTGTGTTGTGAAGGACAGATCTATCGATCCTCGAAATCATGATCAGCAATGCAACGATTGGCTGACGGCACAGCAGCGTAATGACATCATCTGATTAATATTCAATTATTCATGTGAGCGAAATTACATCAAATTGGCAGTAAACAGTGTGTTAAATATGACACGCAATAACCTTCCACATTTGTTGTGAGCTGCAGGCTTTACTCTCTCACGTGTCAAGAGTATTCATCATGTATTTCAATGCAAATCAATGTATTTAGTTCTACATTTAGAAACAGATTTTCTTTATCACAGTAGCCTATAGGCCTACTCAAGTTTTTTTATTTGGCGTAAGGAATAACTGTATAAATTAATTTTGCATCAAAAAAGCATTTTGATATCAGTTAAGGTGTCAATCACCGGCATATTAGTGATCAAAACACGTGCTTGACTGCGTACATTATCATTCCTTTTTTTTAGGCGAATATTGTGAATGAACGCATTTGCATCTAAAAAGATCAATAAATTTTCACTTTGAACCACCAGGTGGCAGTCTTTTACTTTTTTTTCGGAGAGCAGATAGCATAATATTTTATATATATATATATATATATATATATATATATATATATATATATATATATATATATATATATATATATATATATACTATTTTCTCAATTGTATATAACTACTACTGTAAGAAATGATCAGCATTTGGCACATACTTTCAGTATTATCTTTGCTTGAACTGACCCAATCTAATCCTGTTTATATGAATTGAACCTGCTCCTACGCAGGTTTGATCTACCAGAACTGTTGCTATGACAACAACTCTCTGATCAGTTTTGAAGAACGAAACGATCCTGAATCGTGTCAAATTTTCAACATCCAAATCCAGCAAATTGAGTAATCCACGGTAGAAAAACAAACCCCAGACTTAGATTTTCATTATTATTATTATTTTAATTTTTTTTTTTTTTTGGGGTGAACTATCCCCTTAATATTTAACAGAGAGACCATGTTGATGAATGGTAAAGCATGCTCTTTCTTACCTGAGAGAGGAGTTTGTCGTTCTCTGGACCAGTCAGATCAGAACTGGAGACTAATTTTAACTTCACAGAGTTTTTCCTCACTGAAAAACAAATTAGCACAGTGAAAGTGGGAGAGATGAGTGAGACTCTGGACAAACGTCAAGATAAATATCAAACTTCCCATATGGATGTGCATGATATCCACATATATGTGAAACACTGAATTTTTTAGTGAGTACAGGTCATATGTTTTGGTCCATTTGAACAAAACAAATTTATTAAACAGATTTATTCATTTAAAATAACATTTTAGTCACTAAATATCTTGAGAAATAGAAGGACAAAACAGATTCATGCAAAAAAACAACTAAATTTCAACAACAAAAAAAGATTGCTCTTTCTAAAATTTGTATTTAAGATTTTCCCCTAGCATATAAACGTAGGCTACTCATTTCAGACCATCATTCATTCATTTTCTTTTCGGCTTAGTCCTTTTATTAATCTGGGGTCGCCACAGTGGAATGAACCGCCAACTTATCCAGCATATGTTTTTTATGCAGAGGATGCCCTTCCTGCCGCAACCCAGGACTGAGAAACATTTATACACACTCATTCACAATCATACCCTACGGACATTTTAGCCTACCCAATTCTCCTGTACCGCATGTCTTTGACTGTGGGGGAAACTGGAGCACACCTCCAGCGTGTCCTGGGTATTCCCTGAGGCCTCCTCTTAGTGAGACATGCCTGGAACACCTCCCTAGGAAGGTGTCCAGGAGGCATCCAAAACAGATGCTCGAACCACCACAGGTGACTTCTCTTAATGACGCAGTGGACCCCATACTCCCACAGAATGCCACGAGGACTCCCATGAACCCCCGAGCACCCAGGTGAGGGTATAGAGCTGGTCCAGTGTACCATGGCCTGGACAAAAACAGCATTGTTCCTTCTGGATCCTAGGTTCAACCATTGGAAGGATCCTAATCGCCAGTATCCTGGCATAGACTTTCCCAGAGAGGCTGGGGTGTGTGATTGTATCAACCCAGGCTCATCCTGGAAACGTAGCCCTGCGGACGTTTCTGGAGACAGCGAAATACATCCCTGGAGGTACGTATTTGTGTAGTTTTTGTTTTCGCGAATCTCTGAGAGGCTGCTGTGCGTGCTTTTTCGCATCTCGAACGGCTCTCGCGAGCGCACGCCGTTTGCGCCCGCACTGTTCTCGCGTAACAAGCCACCGGAGGCCGCTGTCGAGCGACCGTCTGTCCGACTGACTGAATGAATGACTGAACGATTGACTGAGCAGCCAGCCAATCAACCGACCCGGCCACCCTCCTCCTTCCCTAAACCCAAGCGACGATTTACAAAAGCCGTCCAGAAAAAAGAAAAGCCCTTGTCCGATTTTGACTGCGTTTTCCGATTTCACCGCATTCTCACCCCTTTACGAATTCGTTCACTTTATTTTTTGGATTCTGTTTTTTGTCTTACCTGATTTCTGGAACCGCTCTTCCCAGGACTCGAACCCGGTCGTCGAACGTGACCGGCTTCTCTTTCTCCGGGCCTCCGCTCTGCCAATGTAACACGACAAGCTAACCGGACAAACTGGTTGTGGCGGGAAAGCCCTCCAAACAGAAGAGGTGAGCCGTCAGCCCAGCTGGCGAGCACGAAGAGTAGTGGTGTCACACCACCCCATAGCGTTCGCTTGAAAAAACCAAAATGCAGCTATACATACCTCCAGCCACATAAATCTGGTGGTCTCCAGAAACGTCCGTGGGGCTACGTTTTCAGAATGAGCTTGGGTTGGATTGTATAGTTTGAGCACACCATCCAGTCCCCCTTCCACTGGGAACTACTGCCCTAGTTGCCCTGTCCAGAGGTACTGTCCCCGACCTCCATGTGGAATTCTAGAGGCTGCTTTGGCTTCAGTACTGACTAATTTAATGTATATGCACAAATATAATATTGTAAAGCATCCTATTGAAAACTACAGATTATACATAGCTAATAAATTAGCATTTTCGTTGAGAAATGTAATGTAAGACATATCATAACAACAACATCACATATTTTCCAGTTTTGTGCAGCCCTAATTGTATCCTATAATGAATAACTGATGAGTAATTGAGTTACCCCACAACTGCTGATAGACTTCAACTTCACACAGCGCAAGAAGCCTGTCAACTCCAGGTAGAACCACGCTCACGTAACGTCCCTCCATACCAGCACAGGAGAATCTGTAAGAAGCTCCTAATGGCATACTAGAAATCACAGCGCATCTAGAGAGAATACAAAATATGAGAAAAAGTACAGTTCAGTAATATTACATTTACAGCTTGGACAAAATCTGGGAACTTCTTTGAAGAAATTTCAAGCAAACTATAAACATTCATTCATTCATGTTCTTTTCGGCTCAGTCCCTTTATCAATCAGAGGTCACCAGAGCAGAATGAACCGCCAACTTATTCAGCACATGTTTTATGCAGTGGATGCCCTTCTGGCTGCAACCCATCACTGGGAAACATCCATACACACTCATTCACACACATACACTACACTGAAAAAAAGTGTTGCATGCAGAACTGTTGCAAACAATTTATTTGTGTTGAATTTAAACAAACACATTAAGTTTAATAATGTTTAATAATGTCAAAAATTGTTTACAACCACTTAACGTAAAAAAAAAAAATTTGAGTAAATCCAAGGAATCATCTTTGAATATTTTTTTTTTTTCTGTGTAGGAACAATTTAGCCTTGCTAGTTTACCTGTACGGCATGTCTTTGGACTGTGGGGGAAATCGGAGCACTCGGTGGAAACCCATGCGAACACAAGGAGAACATGCAAACTCCACACAGAAACACCAACTGACCCAGCCAAGGCTCAAACCAGCCACCTTCTTGCTATGAGGTAAACGTGCTACTCACTGCTACACCATGCAGCCCTAAGTATTATCCTAATAATTTATTATCATAATGTTCCTCAACAGCTTCTTCCCTCAATATTTTGGAGCATTTGGGAAATAACCAAAAGGATCAGGCTTTATGTCTTTTTTATGTTTTTTTTTTCTAGAAAACACAATACCAGTGTTTAAAATTAGGATCTCTATGTTTTGATGATGTTATTTTAATTTTTTTATTTTAATATCTTACATAAAGAGAAGTGATTTCTACATTAACTCTGACTTGTATTTCAAACACGTATTCTGATTTCTGGTTCTTGCAACACATTTAAAAATAAACATTTTTTAGCAGTAAAGCATTTACCACTTTGTATGGTTGCCATTCCTTTTCACAACACTTCAAAGACGTTTACGAATTGAAGACACCAAGTGACAGCCACGTGAACACATAGGGCTGAACCTGTGCAGTGCACATGCCCTTTTTAGTCTTGGATAGAAAGCGCCCTTCCAAAATGATCCCCCCGCGACACCCCCCCTCCCCCTACCGCCCTGCAGTAGGCGCGTGACAACACCGCTCTTGAGTACCCCCTCCACCCCCCCCCCCCCCCTGCTTTACAGTATGCACGCGACCACACCGCTGATCAGAACGCGTGCGACAACAAAAAAAAAACAAAAACAAAAAAAAAAAAAAAAAAATTTATCCTGCACATGCCCTTTGGACAGTCTCTGCACGGGCCGGCCAAGTAATGAAGGGTTTTAGGTGTAATTTTGTCCCATTCTTCCTGCAAACAAGTCTTTAAGGGCACCTAGGTTACCCCTGTTTTCAGATTTAATATAAGTGTTTTGCGTCTCCAGAATGTGTCTGTAAAGTTTCAGTTCAAAACACCCATCAGATTTTTTATTATACCTTTTACAAGATCCTTTTTTAAACATTTTTCCACCAGGGTGCCGTTTAGTCGTACTGCGCCTTTAAGGATAGTCTGCTCCGCCTACCGTTTCTACGTGCCTTTCTGCGTGCCTTCATCTCCTCCCTCGGCTGCGTCAGACAACAGACAGACATACTTAGGAAGAAGATGTCACGTAGTGTTTGTGAGTAATACTACAGTAAGAACTTTACCAATGACTATTTGTTGTGGAGATGCATCGATGAGTCACACACAATGTCAATGTACAAAGTTCATGGGCGCGCGTGCACACACAGATAAACACACATACAGACCGACACACACACACACACACTGACAGACAGCGCACGTTTAGCTTTGCACTCTTTTTGCACGCATATGTGACAGGATACAGGTAAATCTCCGCTGCTGTATGGATATCCGTGATGTTAATGTACAAAATAAACCTGATTTAACGTCCACAAACCGGGATTGAAGCATCTTCCTTTAGAATTGTTCTGACACGCAGCTGTGCTGATGAAGTAAAGCTGAAATAAATTGCTGTAATTAATTACACACGTGCTCTGTTTTAAAACATGTTAAACTTGTGAAACTCACTCGTGATCACATTTGATGATGATTGATGATCCTAGCGAACTATACAGATCTTTTATTCCCGTTTGCTTTGCGCTCGCCTTCTCTTGTTGACATGATTATACACGTGACTACCGGCACATGCAACGCAAAGCTGTCAATCAATTCGGTGGGCGGGGAGGAGCACACTCCTACCTAAAGTTGCAGTCGGTCTGAAAACCGCTCCAATTGGTCCACCGTTTTTATGTTGTTAAAATGAAAAAAAAAATAGGACTCAGTGTGTTTACATCAGCCAAATATGACGGCCTATATACTATACACACACACATGTCTGTCCAAACAGCTTGAAAAGTAGATTTTTCACCATAGGTGCCCTTTAGGGTGGGCAACAGTGCAGGGTCTTTGTTGTTGCATTGTACCACACATTCTGTTGGAGACTGGTTGGCTCTGCAGGTAGTCCAGTTCCTGTATCCTCTTCCTTAGCAGCAGGACTGTGTAATGTGTGCAGAATGCGCTTTTGCATTGTTTTGTTGAAATATGCATGAGCGTCCCTGGAAAAGAATGCAGCATATTGTGCTCCAAAATCTCTTTGTACTTTTCAGCAGTAACGGAGCATCACAGAACTGCAAGTTACTGTTGCCAAGTGCACTGACACAACCACATACCAAGACAGACCCTGGCTTTTGGACTTGTTGCTGTATGATCCCTTTCTTCTTTGGTCCGGAGCATCCATTTCTCCCAAAAATATACCTGGAATCATCGGACCCTGTGTTTCCACTGCATTGAAAGTGACTTAATATGCGCCATTTAACAAGATGTCAAAAGTCCATCCCAGATGCCTCAAGACCCAGAAAAGTTGACGGCCCTTCTGGACACTGTTAACATGGGGTTTCCTTTTGGCACAATACAGTTTTCACTGGCATTTGTAGACTACATATTGTAACTGTAACTACGTATTGAGGTTCTTGATGTAACGGAGGCCAGCTAGTAAGTGCTGTGCTGTAAACCTCACTCCTCTGACCTCTAAATGTGCTCTAGTGACAGACGCTAGAGGCTATGGTCTTTAGCCTCCTTGGTAGAGCAACCCAATTCCATGCGGAAGGTCGCCGGTTTGATACCAGCTTGGAGCGGGTTGGGTGGCGTAGGACCGGCGGGGTTACATTGACAAAGCTTTGCCGCAGTAGTCCTGAGCCCATGTGGTGATCTGGCTTATAGATGAATGAGGATTCTTGATGCAGTGATCACGGTTGTTCAGCTTAGGCTTGCACCCTTGTCCTTTACACATTGAAATTCCTCCAGATTCCTTCAATCTTTTAATGATGTTCTGCACTGTTGAAGGTGAAATATCCAAATGTCTTCCTCTCTTTCTCTGAGGAAAATGTTTTTAAACATTTCAATAATTTTCTCTCGTATTTGGTGGCAAACTGGCGATCCTCGGTCCATCTTTGCTCCTAAAGGACTGGACCTTTATTGGATGCTGCTTTTGTACCAAATCATAATTACAATCCCCTGTTGACATCACCTGTTTCACATCACGTCATTATTTCACCAGTTTACCTGATTACTAGCTCTTAAGCTGCGGTCACACTAGAGTTTGAGCGTGCGAAATTCTGTTGTACGGCACTGCGAAAAGGGGCGGGATTAAACGATGATTAGACATTTTAAAAAAAGCGAGCGATTGGTCTACAGTACAGAGAGGTCATATTTTGATCTTCGATTGGTCTCACGCAATCATGTGATGTGATTTCACCAGTCAGAGTTCATCAAGCTTGAACTTTCTAACGCAGCGATCTGCAAAACTTAACGCTTGACCTTGCGTTTCCGGTGTGACGCATTCGCGTGGTATGAATGGATGTCGATGGAGAGAAAAGTCCAGTGTGACCGCAGCTTAAATCATAGGTCTCAAACTCAATTCCTGAAGGGCCACAGCTCTGCACAGATTGGCTCCAAACCTGATCAAACACAGTTGATCTAGTAGTGTCTAGTAGTCTTGAACACCTTGATTAGTTGGATCAGCTGTGTTTGATTAGGGTTGGAGCAAAACTGTGCAGAGCTGCGGCCCTCCAGGAATTAAGCTTGGGACATATGATCTAAACTGAGTAAAGTTGACCAGACAGAAAACATCAACGATTTTGTGCTTATTTGGTCTGGAATGAAATACAGTGGGCGAAGCAGTGGTAGTGCTGTCGCCTCACAGCAAGAAGGTCGCTGGGTCGCTGGTTCGATCCTCGGCTCAGTTGGTGTTTCTGTGTGGAGTTTGCATGGTCTCCCTGCATTCGCGTGGGTTTCCTCCGGGTGCTCCGGTTTTCCCCACAGTTCAAAGACATGCGGTACAGGTGAATTGGGCAGGCTAAATTTTCGGTAGTGTGTGTGAATGAGTGTTTTTGGATGTTTCCCAGAGATGGGTTGCAGCTGGAAGGGCATCCGCTGCGTAAAAACGTGCTGGATAAGTGGGCGGTTCATTCTGCTGTGGCGACCCCAGATTAATAAAGGGACTAAGCCGACAAGAAAATGAAATGGAACATGCAAACTCCACACAGAAACGCCAACTGACCCAGCCGAGGCTCGAACCAGCGACCTTCTTGCTGTGAGGCAACAGCACTACTTACTGTGCCACCACGTCACCCATTTCAGATTATTATTTGTACGTTATTTTGTTAGATTAGCTCTAGATTTGGCCTCATCTCAATATCAATTTTGTCCGCTTATCTGAGGCTAGGTCGCGGGGGCAGCAGGAGAGAACTCCAGACATCCCTCCTACCAGACACTTCCTCCAGCTCCTCTGGGAGATTCCCAAAGTGTTCCCTGGCCAGCCGAGAGGCATAGTCCCTTCAGCGTGTCCACATGTTTTACGCAGCGGATGCCCTTCTAGCTGCAACCCAACACTGGGAAACATCCATACACACTCATACACCACGTACAATTTAGCCTACCCAATTCACCTGTACCGCATGTGTTTGTACTGTGAAGGAAACCGGAGCACCCTGAGGAAACCCACACAAACGCAGGGAGAAGATGCAAACTCTACACAGAAACGCCATCTGACCCAGCCAAGGCTCGCCCCATTGGGTGAACTAATACATGTTATTTTAAATAAACCTTAAAGGTGACCTATTACGCCCAATTTAACAAGATCTTAAATGCGTCTCTGATGTCTAAAGTGTGTAGTCAAGTTTCAGCTCAAAAAAGCTCACAAATAATGGTTTCTGAATCTCTGAAACCGACCCCATTACGCCTGTTTCACATCGCAAGCGTCAGCGGCGCGTGAGCAGCGCGTGTGTTTTTGGCGTCCATGTTAACAGATTAGAGCTTTCATACCTTCATACCGCACGCAGCAGCAGCGCGTCAGAGCGAGGCGTGAGCGTCGCCGAAGCAGCAGTGCAGCGATAGTTTCGGCGCTGGGTCTATTTTTGACGCGCTGCTCACGCTCAATTAAAGTGACAGTGCACTGATAATGACCAAAACACATTGAATGACTGTAAAAAGTAGCAATTTTACCCAATAAATGGGTTAATAATGTCAAATGGTTCATATATAGTCAATCAAATGAACTTAAACGATTAAAAACGGCACAAACATTTATTTAGGCCCGAACTACAAAACCAAATGTAAAACAATTTTAGTGTCAGTTTTGCTTAAGTTGCACACTAGTGTTGTAGGAGAGGGTAAATAGAATATTTACGGGATTTGTAGTCCATAGCGAAGTGTATTGTGGGTAGTGCAGTTCGACACGCATGCTGGATTATGTGAGCTCGCTGTGTTCTGTGCAGCTGAGCAGAGGAAGAAAGTTTTAATCGGCTTTGTTTTATGTTCACTCCAGTTATTCCTACCGGGAGCTGTTTGCACTGTGAATCTGACAACACGAAAATAAGTAAAAGAAGGGCATGCATTGGTTACTTTTGTCCGTCTCATCCTCTGCACGAGCATGAATTAACGAGCTGTTATTCTGCCGCTGGACATCACTGAAGCGGAGAAAGTAACACTAGTTTGATCATGTATAAATATCATTATAACTATATTGTATAAATATTATTATAACTAGGTCTACAGCAACCTGATAATCAAAAAACAAATGACATGATATCACAGGCGATTGTCTTCTGACTGCCTTCTTTCATCTGAGAAATATCGCTAAATTACGAAATATGCTATCCATCTCAGATGCAGAAAAGCTAGTCCATGCTTTTATGACCTCTAGGCTGGATTACTGTAATGCTCTATTTGCTGGCTGCCCAGCATCCTCTATTAACAAACTTCAACTAGTACAAAATGCAGGTGCCAGAGTTCTGACCAGGTCTAGAAAATATGATCATATCACCCCAATTTTATCCTCCTTACACTGGCTGCCTGTTCAGTTTCGTATTGAATTTAAAATATTACTTCTCACCTATAAAGCTCTAAATAATCTAGCTCCTGTTTATCTAACCAACCTTCTGTCTCGCTACGAACCAACTCGTTCCTTAAGATCTCAAAATTCAGGGCTTCTGGTAGTACCTAGAATAGCAAAATCAAGTAAAGGAGGTCGAGCCTTCTCTTTCATGGCTCCTACACTCTGGAATAGCCTTCCTGGTAATGTCCGAGGCTCAGACACACTCTCCCAGTTCAAAACTAGATTAAAGACCTATCTGTTTAGTAAAGCATACACTCAATGCATCACCTAGCGGGTTCCACACAGGCTTCTGCATCTTGCTTATATACACTATGAACAGCAGCTACGCTAATTATTCTCTTTATTCTCTATTTTCACCTGGGGATACTCATCCCGAGGTCCTCAGATTAGGCGGAGTCACTGATTGGATCCAAGACCAGCGACGAGATGATCCCAAGGATTCCATATCCGGGACCAGGCCATATCCTGAGCTGCTGCTGCGCTGATGGTCGTGGGGAGTGGAGAACATGTGTCTGATTCCAGCGACGCTCCAGGGACAGACGAGTCTTCATTGAGGCCATCTTCCAGCATAAACCACGGCGAATGAAGTTCTGCACAAGACTTTTGGCCAGCGGAGAAATTAAAATGGTCGTGCCCAACTGAGTCTGGTTCCCTCAAGGTTTTTTTTCTTCACTCCCATCAGGTGAAGTTTTTTTTTCCCTCTCCGCTGTCGCCACTGCCTCGCATGGTTCAGGATTGGTAGAGCTACGCATCGATTAATTTGCTCTTCGGTGTTTGAACTCTCAGTAATGATTAAATCACACTGAACTGAGCTAAACTGAACTGAACTGAACTTAAACACTAAAACCTGAACCACACTGTTCCAGTTACTATGACCATTTATGTGAAGCTGCTTTGACACAATCTACATTGTAAAAGCGCTATACAAATAAAGCTGAATTGAATTGAATTGAATTGACTGTAGACACTTCTCATATAAGTTAGCTTGAGAAGCATACAGCACTATTTGATCTATATAATTTGTAAAATAAACATTTGCAGGTTAAAGAAACAGCATAGGAGGGGCCTTGGTGCAGATGAAAAGTTTAAAAAGTGTATTTGTATATAGAGAGACATGGGTAACTAGATAGAATAGACAGATAGGTTGATCTCTGCAGCAGCTGCCGAAGAGCTGCGCGCTGCAGACGCAGCTGGTGTAAAAGGCAAACGCCTGCGTGCTGCTACTGCTCGACATACGCGCTGCGCACGCTCTGCTCACGCACTGCTGACGCTTGCGGTGTGAAACAGGCGTAAGGCTGTCGCTTTAAATTTAAATGAGATTGTGCTCTTTTTAAAAGAGGGCGGAGCTACATACAGCTGTGCATCAGCATAGCGGCAGATATAAAACAGCAGTGTGTGTGTGTTGTCAGTGCTGGTCAGGTGTGCATGTGTGCTTTGTGCTCCTGTCAGTCTATGGAGACTCCTGTTCATTTGTGCTTCATCTAAAACTCCACATCTATAATCCTCTTAGTCTATGCTGACATTATGTCCAGCAGCTCAAACACTCTAATGGCTAATGGACAGACGGCTGCTTCTCACTCAGGGCTGCTGTTTATGCTAATGAGATGGAGAGATGGCCACTAGTGGGCGGGACTTTCCCCCTCTGATGATGCGTAAAAAGGGAGAATGTCAATCAAAGTGTTTTTTTGTCTTTATCAAGCCTGATAACAAATAAAAAGAATCAGTGTTTACCATTAGAGGCTGGCTATCTTTAAAGTAGATATTTTCTCACATGGGATTGTTGTAGGTGTTGTTTTCTGTTGAGTTTCCGATGTGAATCTCGGCTCCGTTGATTCTCTCGGCGCAGCAGTCGGCTCTGTTTGTGATGGTAACAAAATCCACGTAGTAAGTGTCCAGCAGATCCAGAATCCACCACGGGTTCGTGTTTGTCTTTGTATGGGTGCAAAATGAATTCTGGCCTGGTGCGAATTTTATTCCATCATTCCCGCTTTGGGCGTGCCAGTATTCATATATAGATGACTGAACAGCATATCCATTTAACTGAACGTTACCTAGAAGATGAAGAAGCTGCACGTCAAAACACATCAGAAGCACGTCTGAAAATAATTTTACGCTTTTACAGTCCCTCTATTAGTGTTTGTTTCTTTTTTAGGCCTATATAGGCCCTATGTTTTACTGTGCATCTTAGCAGCATCAGCCAATGAAATTAGTCCTCAATCGGCTGAGTTGGAGTATTTGCATAAAGCCATCTGATTGATTGACGCTTCCATTGGCGCTTAAAATGTTGAGAATTTCCCCCCCCAATTTTTTTTTCAAAGTGAATGGGAAGTGTTTTTGCTGATGTAAGGCTACATTTACACTAATCCAGATAAATCAGTACCAAAGGGTGCTTTCACATCTTTAGTTTGGTTCATATGGTCCGGACCAATCACAACAAATGATATATTGTAACATTTTCTTGGGTCCTCTGATGGCTTTGGTCCGAACCAATTGTAAAAAAGTTTAGCTCCTACCCTGATCAAACCCACCTGAACCAATTAATTAGGACCTGAAATCCACTTGATAATTACAGACAGGTGTGTTTGATAAGGGTTGCAACTGAAATCTGCAGGAAGGTAGATCTCCAGGAACAGGATTGACCACCCCTGCTCTAGAGTGTGTAGTCAAGTTTCAGCTCAAAATTGCTCACAAATAATGACTTATGACTCTCTGAAACCGACCCCTTTAGGCTTTGATCCTAGTTGTGGCGTATTGGTGACTGTCGCTTTAAATTCAAGTGAGATTGTGCTCTTTTCAGAAAAGGGCGGAGCTACATACAGTTGAAAAAAACCAAAATGCAGTCATGTGACAAAACCCACATCCCTCATTGACCAGATGTTATTGAACGTATTTCCTTATATGCTTTTCGATTGGTCAGAATTCATGTGTGGGAAAATGCCAATGAAACTCCAACAAGTAAACAAATGTCACTTTGAATATTGAGGGATGACTGCGTTGTCTGATTGTATCTCTGCTCATCATACTATATAGTTTATATACATCAGAATAGTCAAACTATACATTTCGAGAATGTCGTATAGTGTTAATGTATGTGAACATGTATGAATATGTGTCCGTATGTTAATGTATAATTAGCCAATTAAGTATATTTCCATACATGTTGAATTTGCACGTTATCTATTGGTTGCATTTATTTTGTTCATTACGTGCAACATCACCTTTTAAGGGTTAATTTAAGTTTATGTATTTCTTTTCGTAGTTCTGACGGCATTATTGGGACATAAAGGAGTGCAAGGATGTTCAAGACACTACAGACTCGCGTCCGAATAAATGTCAGTTAAAATCAAGAATGACTTGAGCCTTTGTTTAATCTTGAGAGGAGTAACAAATATTTTTCCTCCACATCCCATAATGCACAGCGCATCGGCCTACGGCAGCTGGATTAGTCCAAAAAGGTGCAGTACCTTTTGGGGTTGGGTCTGTTTTAATTCTGATCATATTCTGACCACAAACGAACCGCTCCAGGGTTACTTTAAAAGCGTACCGAGACCACTTCTTCAAGGAGCTCACGGTGCTCTATTTTTGGTCCGCTTTTGGTGCGCACTTGAGTGCAATTGCTACATTCCCATCTGCCCAATCGAACCGCACCAAGAAAGAAAACAAACTCCAGTGCAATTCAACCGAACTAAATAAGGCAGCCATGAAAGCACCCTAAAAGTGCTTCATGTCCACACTACTGTTTCAATCCTTTTCACTAAAGCGGCCACTAACAATTTAGTTAATGTACTGCATATGTGCACAGATGTATTGCTTTCACCTGCTCATATTCACCTGCTGTTTATTTACTTTCTGTCTCTATTAAATGTGGCAGTAAAATGTCAAGAAAGCAACAGCTCGCAGTAAACTTTCCCTGTGCTGTGAAGAGAGGTAATATGGAGCATCACTAGTAGCAAAGAATTCTGGCCCAGATTTGGCATTAAGCTGGGACAGCAGGCATTCATCCGGCACTGGCATACAGCATGTGGGCCAAACATGGCCCGGTTTTGGCAGAGGTGGCACCGTCTATAATGCGGCACACAAGATTTGGGCCAGATGTGAAACATAGTATTTGGCCCAGATTTAAAAAATTGATTGTGGGCCACGTGAGTTTGGCCAGTCTTGACCCACATTTAAAACACATTAAAATAATTTTTGATTAAATAAATCAATTCTAACAATCAGGTCACTGAGAAAAAACAAGGCCCATAGTGTGCCTAAAGCGCAACGCTTCATGGGTTTATCAATTTCATTGCAATCGTGACACATCGACCTATCTGGCCCAGTTCAGGCCCAGTTATGAGTTATTAACTTGGCTGAGACTTGGCCCAGATATGGTCTGTGTTTGGCCCTTGTCTGGAAGCCAGATTTGGTCCAGTCATGTACCGTAATTCACTGCGGCATGTGGGCCAAGCAAAACCTGATTGTGTGGGCCAGAGCTGGGCCAGAGAAAATTTGCTATGTGGGATCTTCAAACTGATGTTCATCTGTAATGAAGCTGTCAACACCCTAAACATCTGCTTTACAATGTCGTCCATCACACGACTGCTGAACATGACTAAAATGTCTCGACAGCGGACATTTTCTAAAGCCTCAGTTTTTGCAGATACACACTGCCACATGAAAACAGCATTTTCACATTTATCCTATCACAGTGTTTTTAAAAATAAGCATTTTTGTTTGCTAAAAATGCTGTCTAAAGCTGCGGTCACACTGGGCTTTTGCTCCCATAGACTTCCATTTATACGCACGCAAATGCATCAGACCAGGAAACGCATATATATATATATATATATATATATATATATATATATATATATATATATATATATATATATATATATATATATATATATATATACACACACACACACACACACACAGTTAAATCCTGTGAGGCAATTATCCGCATTTAGATATTTTTCCCAAATCGCCAAGCCCTACTTGAGAACCACTAAATATGATTAATTATTTTATTAATGTGATGTGGGGTGCAGTAGTGTGCAGTGTCTATAAGTGTCAGAAGCACCTGTGGAATAGACCATCAGTTCACACACAGTCAGATTCTTGAAGTCTCCAGGAACAAACACAATCACATAACGGCCTTGCAGTCCACCACATGAATACGAGACAGACTGACCTGCTGAAAGACCAGAAATCTCCGCACATCTAGAGAGAATAAATAAAACAGTTGTAGGTTAACATGAACTTCTGCAATATCACACCAAGAGCACTATTTAAACAATTTAAGTGCATCATTTGTCGTTACTAAGCAGATGCACTAATTGTTGCTTGTTGGCCTAAATAACAAACTCCAGCTGGTTCAAAAATGCAGCCGCTAGAGTGCTTTCTAGAACAGAAATATGATCATATTACTCCAGTTCAATCATCACTTGATTGGCTCCCTATTAAATATCCTATACATTTTACAATTTTATTGACTACCTACAAAGCCCTGAATGGCTAATTTCACTATTAGTTGAGGGAGCTCCTGGAGTATTATAGCCCCTCGATCAGTAAAACCCGCATCTCAGTTGGAGGCACTGGCTTGATGAGGACAGCAATCTAGTGCAAGACAGGGGCAGACATGACCACTGTGCAATAAACGCCAGTGAACTAGGGGGCCATTTTTGCAACCCGAGGCCCGTTTACACTAGTGCGTTTGAGTTTTAAAACGGCGTTTTAGATCAAAAACGATCCGCGTCCACACTAGTGTTTCACCTAGCGTTTCTGAACATATCTCCGTCCGCACTACGCCACCAAAAACGTATATCACGTGACCATTCGTGCACTCTGGGCATGTGCGTTCGAGTATAAACAGGAAGCATGCGTCTCGCTCGGCATTTGGTTATTGTTAGTCAACAAACGCCGGTTGAACAATGAACGCGATGGCAAAGAAAGCAAGAGAGGTATTTTTGTGGACAGACGACGAGGTTGAGTTGTTACTAAACGTGACAAATGAATAACTGCACAATGGCGACTAAAACAGACACTGTCTGATGCTGTCTTCCGGTAGCGTTAAAGCCATGTGTTATAGTCATGTGATAGGGGCTTGACGAATAAGAGGAGGATACGCAATGACACAAAAGCCCCAATCAGGTAGTGAATCTCAGCAGCCCCGCCGCCATTTTCAGATGTCTCCATTTTCCCTCATCCACACTGAGACGGAGCAGCAGCGCTTCAGAATGAAAACGGCCTCTGCAGCATTTCCAAGACGCTTCATTTTTGGCGCTCGAAAACTCCGGCGTAGTTTGGACGGATGGTGTAACCATAGCAAAACTTACGCGTTTTCAAACTAAAATGCACTAGTGTAAAGGGGGCCTCAATCACATGGCCAGCTCCTCAGAATGATTGGTCATCTTGCATTTCCCTCTATGTGTCATACCAACAAGGTATTGTCGGCCTGTAGATTTTCTTGTCATCTGGGGCTTCAGAAAGGAGGCTAAGTGAAAACTCTGAGTATTTTAAGAGAAACTCTGGGTTTTCTGTTTCAAAATTGCAGGTTTGTCAAACTGGAGAAAGCAGGGTAAGTCAAGCCTGTTTCTGAAAGAGAGGTAACTTTAACTCAGAGTCAGTTACTGTTTTCACTTACTCTGTGAACCTAACCTGGTCAGGAACAGGTTTATTCTCTAAACTCAGAGCTTCTCTTGGTCTCCTCACCTTTTTTAAAGACGAAGCGGTATTTCTAGCCTTAGCCTTACCTTTCCACCCACCTATTTTAATGATAATTTTGAAGATGGGGGCGTTTGAAGCCATAAGACGTGGAGACGCGCATGATGATTCTATCAATCGTTTTTATGCGGGTCACCGCGTCTCATGGCTTCAAACGCCCCCACGCATTTATTGTGTGTCAGCATTGTCCTTCTGAGGCGCAAGTACATTTATTAAATAAAGAAATAATTGACGCAGCTTCTTTTACCGCAGTAAATTCTGTTTTTACTGCTGATATTTGGCGCCAGTTAATCAGAAAGTGACAAATTTTTTTCTCTTTGACTCGCTGCTTTATTCCCACATCTTTTATGCGTTATTCGAGTTTTGCACATAAATTTTATTAATATATTTGGATGGAAACATAGATATTGCCTACATTTCAGTCACACAAAGAACAAAGTCACGTACGAGAATGGCTTGTTCTTTTTTAAGAAATAATTAGCTTAAATTCACTGAACTTCGACTTGTACTGTTACTAGATTAATGGGATTATTATTCTTTCTAAACACTATTGTTTATTTCTGCTTACCTTCTAAATGATATGTCAACCTCTATCACTTGATCAATAACAGAGGCAAACACACAAGTGCACTGTTAAATCTATTAAAACTGATAAACGTGTATAAAAGTTTCGAAAAAAGTATAAACGTCACTCATTACATAACCTATTTTATTATACTTGAATATTGAAATACTTTAAATGTAAAATTACGCATTAACTTGTGCAGCTGTTTTCCCAGGCTAACTGTCTCTGTTTCACTGATGGCTGCTTCTTTTTAAATATATACGCTCATATTCGCTATAACATTGCAAGAGCAGATCAAGTTCAGCTGGAGAAAGAAATGCTGATGTCTTTTTTTAAGATGTAGCCATGGTCACTCGTAATATCTGCGCTCCATTGATAATGCCTTTTTATAGTCACAGGGCCTGTTTAAGAAAGGAGGTTAAGTGAAAACTCAGAGTATTTTAACCCTGAAATGAGAGAAACTCTGAGTTTTCCGTTTTAAAATGGCAGGTGTGTCAGACTGGAGAAAGCAGGGTAAGTCAAGCCTGTTTCTGAAAGAGAGGTAACTTTAACTAAGAGTCAGTTACTGTTTTCACTTACTCTGTGAACCTAACCTGGTCAGGAACAGGTTTATTCTCTAAACTCAGAGTTTCTCTTGGTCTCCTCACCTTTTTTAAAGACGAAGCGGTATTTCTAGCCTTAGCCTTACCTTTCCACCCACCTATTTTAATGATAATTTTGAAGATGGGGGCGTTTGAAGCCATAAGACGTGGAGACGCGCATGATGATTCTATCAATCATTTTTATGCGGGTCTCCACGTCTCATGGCTTCAAACGCCCCCACGCATTTATTGTGTGTCAGCATTGTCCTTCTGAGGCGCAAGTACATTTATTAAGTAAAGAAATAATTGACGCAGTTTCTTCTACCGCAGTAAATTCTGTTTTTACTGTTGATATTTGGCGCCAGTTAATCAGAAAGTGACAAATTTTTTTCTCTTTGCCTCGCTGCTTTATTCCAACATCTTTTATGCGTTATTCGAGTTTTGCACATAAATTTTATTAATATATTTTGATGGAAACATAGATATTGCCTACATTTCAGTCACACACAGAACAAAGTCACGTACGAGGATGGCTTGTGCTTTTTTAAGAAATAATTAGCTTAAATTCACTGAACTTCGACTTGTACTGTTACTAGATTAATGGGGATTATTATTCTTTCTAAACACTATTGTTTATTTCTGCTTACCTTCTAAATGTTATGTCAACCTCTATCACTTGATCAATAACAGAGGCAGACACACAAGTGCACTGTTAAATCTATTAAAACTGATAAACGTGTATAAACGTTTAGAAAAAAAGTATAAATGTCACTCATTACAGTACTTATTTTATTATACTTAAATATTGAAATACTTTAAATGTAAAATTACGCATTAACTTGAGCAGCTGTTTTCCCAGGCTAACTGTCTCTGTTTCACTGATGGCTGCTTCTTTTTAAATATATACGCTCATATTCGCTATAACATTGCAAGAGCAGATCAAGTTCAGCTGGAGAAAGAAATGCTGATCTCTATTTTTAAGATGTAGCCATGGTCACTCGTAATATCTGCGCTCCATTGATAATGCCTTTTTATAGTCACAGGGCCTGTTTCAGAAAGGAGGTTAAGTGAAAACTCAGAGTATTTTAACCCTGAAATGAGAGAAACTCTGAGTTTTCCGTTTTAAAATGGCAGGTTTGTCAGACTGGAGAAAGCAGGGTAAGTCAAGCCTGTTTCTGAAAGAGAGGTAACTTTAACTAAGAGTCAGTTACTGTTTTCACTTACTCTGTGAACCTAACCTGGTCAGGAGCAGGTTTATTCTCTAAACTCAGAGCTTCTCTTGGTCTCCTCACCTTTTTTAAAGACGAAGCGGTATTTCTAGCCTTAGCCTTACCTTTCCACCCACCTATTTTAATGATAATTTTGAAGATGGGGGCGTTTGAAGCCATAAGACGTGGAGACGCGCATGATGATTCTATCAATCATTTTTATGCGGGTCTCCACGTCTCATGGCTTCAAACGCCCCCACGCATTTATTGTGTGTCAGCATTGTCCTTCTGAGGCGCAAGTACATTTATTAAGTAAAGAAATAATTGACGCAGCTTCTTCTACCGCAGTAAATTCTGTTTTTACTGTTGATATTTGGCGCCAGTTAATCAGAAAGTGACGAATTTTTTTCTCTTTGCCCCGCTGCTTTATTCCCACATCTTTTATGCGTTATTCGAGTTTTGCACATAAATTTTATTAATATATTTTGATGGAAACATAGATATTGCCAACATTTCAGTCACACACAGAACAAAGTCACGTACGAGGATGGCTTGTCCTTTTTTAAGAAATAATTAGCTTAAATTCACTGACCTTCGACTTGTACTGTTACTAGATTAATGGGATTATTATTCTTTCTAAACACTAATGTTTATTTCTGCTTACCTTCTAAATGTTATGTCAACCTCTATCACTTGATTAATAAAAAGGCAGACACACAAGTGCACTGTTAAATCTATTAAAACTGATAAACGTGTATAAAAGTTTAGAAAAAAGTATAAACGTCACTCATTACATAACCTATTTTATTATACTTGAATATTGAAATACTTTAAATGTAAAATTACGCATTAACTTGAGCAGCTGTTTTCCCAGGCTAACTGTCTCTGTTTCACTGATGGCTGCTTCTTTTTAAATATATACGCTCATATTCGCTATAACATTGCATGATCACATCAAGTTCAGCTGGAGAAAGAAATGCTGATCTCTATTTTTAAGATGTAGCCATGGTCACTCGTAATGTCTGCGCTCCATTGATAATGCCTTTTTATAGTCACGGTATGCGCGCTTAACTCTGAGTTTCTACTCAAAGTTGATTGATCCAACTCTGCTATTATAAAACTGAAAGCTCTTAGTTTTTAATCTCTCCGTAAATCAACTCAGAGCTCAAGTTTAAATTGAGTTGTTTGAACCTCCTTACTGAAACAGGCCCCTGGAGTTGCTGTTGTTCTCCAAAGACTTAGCAGTAATATAGGAAAATAGCAGTAAATCAATGCTAGACAAGTCTTTTAGCTTTTAAAGACCGTTTCATGCATTACATGTAATACACAAAGCAATGCAATTGTAAATTGCATACAATTATTTTTTTAATGTAAACATTCTTGTTACTTGGAGTTGCTGCTGCCGTTGTTCACCAGGGAGTCTCCGATGAGAATCTGGGCTCCGTCTATTAGTGCTGGACAGCAGTCGATTCTGTTAATGAACACAACTCTTCCAATGCTGAATGAATTTGGCAGTTCCAGCCTCCACCATGGGTTCGTCTCGGTTTTGGTGTGTGTGCAACTGGTGGAATAACCATCAATCGCAAAACTAGACCATGCAACATATGTAGAAGACTGTACAGCCTGTCCTCTGAGTGCAAGATTCTCTGGAAAGGGTAAAGAGGAACACAAATCACCATGCTGCACTGTTAGACTTTGCCAATGTGGTGCAGCCAAATTTGTACAACCACATTTGGTGATATAAATGTGTATATATATATATATATATATATATATATATATATATATATATATATATATATATATTTTATAAATAGATAATACTGTTTATTCATTTAAATTAAGAATAGCATCTTTTTTAATTCAGCAAATTGTTATTTGTCATTTAGTGCAATGTCCTGCAATGGGAAAAAAATTGTGATAATGAATGAGACAGCATAGGGGGACCGGAACCTTTAATGCGGTTATTTGTTCCCGGGTGCCTATACTGACGGAACCCCTGGTTTCCGGTTAGACGTAATCTGGAGAAAGAATCGCATGGTCCTGTCTTGCTTTCGTCTCAGTGTTTTCATTCATTTTACAGGTCAGGGGTCCGTTCTTCGTACCTCGCTTAAATGATCTAAGATTATTTGGCAGATCCCGGATCTTTTAATCTTGATAACTGATCTCTCACTAATTTGGTTCTTCAAACGAGTTCGCGAATCAGATTAGAATGTCTGGATAAACTGATCTGAGATCGCTGTGTGTGTTGTAAAGGACAGATCTATCGATCCTCGAAATCATGATCAGCAATGCAACGATTGGCTGACGGCACAGCAGCGTAATGACATCATCTGATTAATATTCATTTATCCATGTGAGCAAAATTACGTCAAATTAGCAGCAAACGGTTTGTTAAATATGACACGCAATAACCTTCCACATTTGTTGTGAGCTGCAGGCTTTACACTTTCATGTGTCAAGAGTATTCATCATGTATTTCAATGCAAATTAATGTATTTAGTTCCGCATTTAGAAAAGATTTTCTTTATCACAGTAGCCGTTTTTTAATCGGTGTAAAGAATAACTGGATGTTTACAAAAGCATTTTCATATTGGTAAAGGCGTCTGCAACTTTTGTGAAGCATCAAATCACTGGCATATTAACTGTCAAAACATGTTTATGACAGCATAAATGTATTGTTGCTTTAAAAAAGTCACATATTGTGCATGTCTATTATACACAATTTGTACTAAAGCGATCTAAAAAGTTCATATCAATAAGCTTTCTCTTTGCACCACCAGGTGGCAATCTTTGTAGCCTACTTTTATTTCGAGGGTGCAGATTGCATACGTTTTATTAAAATGTATAACTTAATTTATTTTATTAATGACTATAACTTTATTTATATAGTTTAAAAATATGTACCATTTCCCTAAGTTTATATAACTACTACTGTAAGAAAATATCAGAATTCGGAACATACTTTCTGTATTATCTTTGCTTGATCTGAGCCGATCTAATCCTGTTTATATGAATTGAACCTGCTCCCGATCAGGTTTGACTTAGCAGAACTGTTGCTACGACAACAACTCTCGGATCAGCTTTGAAGAACGAAACAATCCTGGATCGTGTCAAATCGTCAATATCCAAATCCAGCTAACTGAGTAATCCACGTACGAAGAACGGACCCCAGTACTGTGTTTAAACTGTCAAAGCATAAAGTTTTAGACGTTGTGTAACGATTATATTTGTTGGAAACTGTACAGTGAAGATTCTGAGAACTTTTGGATAGGTTAAAGTTGAAAACACTTTAGGTAATGGTGTGAGGTCGGGCTATTATCATGAGAGTTTGTTGGCGCCCAGTCATTTAGTCCGTCTGTAGTGTAAATTAAATTTAAACACTTTATCTTTTGCTTGAAAGCAACACAGATCGCTCCAGTTGATGCTTAAAGTCTCCCAATATGTGTTTACATGTCCAGTGAGCTGTTTTAGAGCAGAGTGAATTCATAATAGTGTGTTAAGGAAGCATATGAGAGTTTTATAAATAAGTATATGCTATTCTGTTTACAGTTTTGATAATATTATTACTACTAATAGCTTTATTTCTTCAGTGTTATTTCATAAGGTCTGTTAAAGTTTCTGTACACTTTCAAATGCAATGTCCCAGTTTAAGCAAGCTAATTTCTAGCACATACAGTGTATTTTGAGTGTTAAACAATACTTTTGATTAATTTAAATGTGTGATAGTACTATATCTCAGGGAAATTAATGCAATATTGCACTGTTACTTGTAACTAGTAGGATATCTACTCTGATTTGAGTGAATTTGCAGCAGGAAGATTTTATTTATCTGATTGGTGAAGCTAATTCATGTAAATGCACGTTATTTGTGTTTAATACACAGTAAATATGCTAGACTGAGAATGCATTTATTGTAAGAAATGTGTTTGAGTTTAAATGATTTAATAGACGTAATCTGGAGAAAGAATCGCGTGGCCCTGTCTTGCTTTCGTCTAAGTGTTTTCATTCATGGTTACATTCTTTAATAGTATACCTAATTCCACTTGGTCTGATTCTACAACATCACAGTCTTAACTATCATCTTTATGCTGATGATATTCAACTTTACTCTGTATGTACTCCAACTGCATCCGCCCAAATTGAAAACATCTCTGCTTGCGTGAATGATATTAATGATTGGCTCACCTCAAATTCACTAAAACTTAATATGGACAAAACTGAGATAATTTTTATTGGCACCCCAGCACTTACCAGCAATATTCCCACCAGTTATTCCTGTGAGATTGCTGGCTTGCACATTAAAACATCTACTTCTGTAAAAAAATTTAGGTGTAATCTTTGACTCCACACTCTCTTTTCAGTCACACATTAAATCTGTCACTAAATCTGCATTCTTTCACTTACGTCGCATTTCACAACTGCGTCCCTTCATCAGTAGCAAGGAGGCTGAGACTGTCATCCATGCATTTGTCTCCTCACGCATCGACTACTGTAATGCTCTTTTCATTGGCCTGCCTGCCAGCCTCATCTCCAGATTACAGTATATTCAAAACTCTGCAGCTAGAATACTCACTCATACCAAACGTTCGGCTCACATAACCCCAATCTTGTATGATCTTCATTGGCTCCCGGTTGCATACCGGATTAAATTCAAAATTCTCCTCCTTGCATTTAGATCCTTAAATAACCTTGCACCCTCCTATCTCTGCAACATGCTTGTCCCCTACACCCCAACTCGCTCTTTACGGTCTGCTGACTCTGGCCTTCTTGCTGTCCCTCGGTACCGCCTCTCTTCTATGGGGGGCAGATCATTTAGTGTTATTGCACCCAAACTCTGGAACTCTCTACCACACTCACTCCGCTCTGCTAATAATATCTCTGAATTCAAATCCTTACTTAAGACTCACTTATTTTCTGAATGCTTTGCATCTGATCTACCAAACTGACCACTTAATCTGATCCACCACTATCCTGCTCATATGTCTCTTAGCTTTCGATTGTGTTATTCATGTTTGTTATATTTGACCTCATGTATGTTTGTTTATCTTTTTGTTGCATTCCTTGTAAAGTGTCCTTGAGCTCAGGAAAGGCGCTATATAAATAAAAATTATTATTATTATTATTATTCATTTTACAGATCACAATTCTTTTTGTTATTGCTGCCACCGCGCCTGGGGGCTGTAACACCAACGCAGCAGCAGTGAACTCGTTACAATTCACTACTGTAATATGCAGTGCATTGTGGGACATTTGAAAATGTTTACAGAAACTTACTGCATATTAGGCATTCTACTGTAATCAAGGTAAACAAAAACTGCTACTGTAGCTGAAGACCAAATTAAGACGTGAAATGTTAATGAAAACAAATACTTGATTAGAATTGATTACACTCAATAGTAAATACTTAAAACAAGGGTTTTGCAGTGCTACTGTAAAATGATCATTATTATTGTCATACTGTAAAACTCAAATGCAGTAAAGGGCATAAAAAGAAGGTAAGTAAGGGTATTTTACTGTGAAGAATCTCAGTAGAGGGCTGCTACTGTAAAACACATTACAGGTTAGGAACTGCAACGGGTCAGTTGTGGTAAATTGCAGCACTGGCAGTAAGTTACCGCAAATATTCAATAAAACACAACAAGAGCATTTGATACCGTCAGAAGACTATTTGGTATTTACAGTCCATTGGTGTTATTAGAGAACAAGCTCATCTGAAAATATAGTCAAGTACAGAGTAAAGAAACCATGCATACCTGGTATGTAACCTGTGCTGCTGTGAGTTGGTGTGATGCCTGTTGCAGAAATAAAAAAGCAAATAGTTCAATATCTGGAATAATTCCACAGAATAAAAAAATGCATGCACATACACAGACAAAAGTTAACAAACTGTTACAAAATACGGTATATGCCAAAGCATGCTAACAGGACTTTGAATTGCAAGTAAGCTGGGTTAACCGCTTCCTGTGAACTGCATGCCAATACAAAACTGGCACGTTGAAGGTCTGCTTTCTTTCAAAATCAGGCTGAGTGATATCCGATATAAAGTGGGTCTTAGATTGTACAATAAGCACTGCATTAAATTACATTTCCTGCGCCAAGTCTTTATAAAATGAGCATTTATGTTACCCCAGTATATTCAATAGAGCTTCAGCGCTAACTTGCCAAATTCTGACAGGCGTGTGCGAGTAAACGGTTTTTAGTCTTGTTTTACGCTTGAGCAACTAAATGAATGCCCAAGTCTGTTTAACTGATTGAACTTTGCTCACATTACAACATCAATGCTGTAAAAGGAACCGTATAGATGGAAAACAAAACTGACAATAACAAGTCACCGGAAGTTTATCAGTATGTGAAACACACTAGCTGGGTATACACCCTATCTGCTTATGTTTTTAGCATACTGTGAAGAAGATTTTATTCTCTCTGTATGAAGTATTTTCTAAGTGTAAAGCAGTTAATTTTCTCTTCACAAAATGTATGTAGTGTTTGCAGCAAACATGCCAGCCTGTGTTAAAAATACAGTGATATGTCTGTGTAAGATGAGTATGCCTACAGGAGCAACACTAGGAGAAGGCTGAGTGACTGATGTGTAGAATAACTGAATATGTAAAGCACTGATCATATATGTTAAATACTTGTATAAAGCTATATGTGTTAGAAGTTAGAATGAGTAACATATTATCAAGTTGTTATCCTATCATAACAATGTATGCCAACACTTGGTTCCTTTGCATAAGTTGCATCTATATTTTGCTGACATAGACCTGTAACATCTCTGTTGACATGAGCTAGTGGGCTGAGAGCCAAGAATAGCAGGACCCCTTAGACTAGAAAACCTATTCAAAAATGGTCAAAAGTTAAAAAGAGACACATAGGGGTGTGTCAAAAACATAAATAAAGGGGAAGGAGCAGGAGAGACTTTAGAAGGTGTCCAGGAGAGACTTCAGAATGCTCTGGGGTCTGCTCTGCTCTTTCTCGGCTTTATTATGGAGAATAAAGTCTATTTTCTGATATTCAAAACCTCCGGTCTGATAATTTGTAATTGATGAGACGTTAAAATTTACGACAACTGCAAAAAAAAAAAAAAAAGAGTTTAGCTGCGTCCCAAATGGCACACTATGCACTCATGCACTATGTACTTATGCACTTACACACTCAACAGGATAGTATATGTATGTAGTGTCGTCCCAAATGGCACACTAATGTGTTTTTACTAAGCGGAAATTCAAACCGTTTCCCTGATGACGTTTGACGGTTGCCAAATTAGTGAAATAAACGACCGAATTATCAGATAATACCTGCCGTGAGTATTGCCGCATTCACCATCGGGAGGCGTTAAAATCACTCTCGTAGGAGAATTTTGCTTTCACCATCCAAAATAAATAAAAGTTATCCAACATGTGCGTCCGATAGCTCCGCCCCTTCCGCTACGTAAGCAAATCTTCGGTCGTTGAGTGCGTGAAGTGTCCATCATTACACACTTCATTTTAGAGGCTGAATGAGTGCATCATCCGGGTAATTAAAGTGCACTTATTATTTTTAGAGTTTTCAGTGTGAACACACCACTTACACTATTTATACTACAAAATGGCGTAGAATAGTGCATAAGTATGCGATTTGGGACGCAGCTCTTGTCTTGTTTCTACTCCAAATATCTGAAAATCTTACCCCATTGCCTGATTATTTTGCTTGTTTTGAGGAAAAACTAAATTAGTTTTAATGTGTATTTATATAGCGCATTTATCGTGTATGGTCATTAGAGGTGTGAACCTACACTGGTCTCACGGTTCAGTTCGGTTACGATTATCATGCCATCGATTTGGTTCAATTCGATATCTCGGTGCATCACGGTGCATTGACAATGCTTTCCATACACAGTGTTATATTTGTTTTAGGGGGGACTATAACAAGCTGTCTGTATAAACACACCCACATACACACATATAGACACACAGCACCACACATTCTCACATTCACACACATACACAAACATAGAAAGCACCAAACAAACACACGCTTGCTCGCTTGTTTGCTCGGGAGCAACATTGTGAGACTGCCCACTCTTGCTGAAATTACGCTAGAGTTACCGACCGCTCCCACGCTTTATTCTGAATTTTTTTCCCGCGCCACATAAAATCTGGTCTGGTCCTGCGACAATGAGGTATCTCTGTAACAGCCGAGAGGATAAGAGAGGGGGGAGAAATTCACGCCAGCATGTGAAATGGGCCACCGAGAGAGAGAAATTGAGTTCACTTTCATCCCTCAATCGCAGAGAAATAGGGGCTTCTGCTGTAAGTGTCAGTGAAAGACTTTCCATAAAACACACACACGCAGTGAAATTGTGCACCGTTTCTGTATTTTAAGGAGTTGGCGCCTGGAGTGTTGTAAATACCAGCTCACTTCCCTTGCGACAGAGCGCATACGAGATAAATAACGTCAGTACATAATAACCGGTTATGATTATTACTGAACCGATACCGAGTTGTCCACGTCTGCATCGCGGTGCACCAAAGAAACAATTCATTTTGATGCCCCTAATGGCCATACACCGAAAGCACTACACAATCCACACCAAGACCAGTGTGCAGCATTCACTTCACAGCCACAGAACAACGGCGCCAGCGCGCTCACCACACACCAGTGGAATGGAGAGACAGTGGTAGAGCCAATTCAGTGGATGGGGATGATTTAGAGGCCATGAGGGCTGATGGAGGGAGTTAGGCCAGGACACTGGGGTTCCACCCCTACTCTTTACCAGAACTGCATTGAGATTGTTAATGAGCACAGAGAGTCAGGACCTTGCATTAACATCTCATTCAAAAGACGGCGCATACTGATAGTTTAGTGTCCTCTTCATGATTTACCCATCAGATGACTCCTAACTCACTATAAATAGAGCTTTTTACAACTGTTTTCTTTGCCTTAAAGAATGCCCCCTTCCACCACTAGCCCTCCACTTTTCCCTTTGTAGGGCGGCACGGTGGCCCAGTGGTTAACACTGTTGCCTCAAAGCAAGAACATCACTGGTACAAATCCTTAACAAGCCAGTTGTAATTCTGTGCAGTTTACACATTCTTCCCATGCTCATGTGGGTTTGCCCCAGGTTCTCCAGTTTCTTCCCACAGTCCAAAAACATGTGTCATAAGTGAATTGATTAATCTAAATGAACACTATAGTCGAGCTCTTAACCAGCAGTATATCCAACACAATCTCACGGCAATTTGTAACTTTTTCATTTAGTGGCTAATTTGTACAAATTCATACGATCTAATTCGTACATTTTAGTACGATTTGCATATCCCCCAATGACGGTTGGGTTTAGGGGAGGGGTTAGGTGCCACGCCTCCTTTTTAAAATTGTACATTGTCTTACGACTGAACTCGTACGAATTCGTACGAATTAGCCACTAAACTGCCAAAACGTAAAATAATTACGTTTTCTCGTGAGATCAGGCTGGTATATCTCCACATAGCAATTATAATCTGCTGTCAGCTCTCAACCAAGGGGGAAGTTCTTGAGATACCCGAGTTCAAACTCCCGGGATATACACTACGTAGTAAGATTTGTAATGATAAGCAATTGGGCTGTTTGCACAACAGAAGTTTAAACACAGCCACTCAGAAGCACAGAATATGCACTCACTCACCGAACGGTTTATAATCTAATTAATATATATTAAACCTCTTTAACATTATTAAATGTAGATGCTGAATCACTCATATGTGTTTAGTTCTGGAGTTTAGTTTCAGACGGTTCATTCTATTTTCCAGATC